GTGCACATGACCTAGTTATAACCCATTATTTACTAGACATGACGCTAGTACCACCCGTTATTTATTAGCAATGACCTAGTCCCATGTTATTTAGTTAGCATATGACCCTAGTCCCACCCATGTATATTTAGTTTAGACATGAACCTGTCGAATGTTATTTAGCTTAGACACATGACTAGTCACCATGTTATTCTGTAGAACATGACCCTTAGTCGACCCATGTTATTTTAGTTAGCACCATGATTAGTTACCACCGTCCCCATTAGATAGGAACATGACATAGTGAGCAGGTTATCCTAGTGTTGCACTATGACCTAGTTAATAACCTTAATCTAGATTAGCTACATGATAGTTAAAATTACGTTTAGTTAGAACAATGAAATAGTCACACAAATGTTATTTAGTTGTAATTATGACCCTAGTAAATGTTATTTAGTTAGACCAAATTGAGTTAGTCAACAGTTATTTAGTTTAGACACATGCACCACTAGTTCAACATTGTTATTTTAGTTAGACATTGAATGTTACCACCCCATGTGTGTTATTTAGTTAGAACATGACCTAGTCACACAATGTTACTTTATCTAGACCATGAATTAGTAACTGTTATTTTAGTTAGCACAATGAACCTAGTTCACCACACAAATGTTATTTATTAGCAACCATGAATCTAGTCCACCGTTTTTAGTTAGAACATGACTAGTTCACCAATGTTATTTAGTTAGTAATGATAGTTAAAACGTTATTTAGTTAGCATATGGACCTTAGTTAACACTTTATTTAGTTAGCAATTAGTAGTTAACCACCGTAATTTAGTTAGCCCAAAACCTGATAGTAAGAAGTTCATTTAGTTAGCAAATGAACGTAGTTAACAAATCATATAGATAGAACCCATGACCGTAGTAAAATATATCTAGTTAGCACAATGAACTAGTTAAAATGTAAATTTAGAAGTTGTGTAGTTAGGTCGGTAGCACTTGTTAACACATTATATAATACCAACAGTGGACTAGTTAGGATGATTATTAATACAGTGACTATAGATATCTAAACTTTATATAATTATATATATATACATATATCCTATATTTATTTAAAGAGATAAGTAAACGTTGTTATTAAGCAAGTTTTTAGATATTAGTTTATGACGTGTTGCATGAGAAGTAGGGAGACTATGTACCTAGATTGTGTAGGAACAATAAAATAAAGACATAATAATGACACAAATGGAAAGTCGATTAGTGTTGAATAAAAAGAAGTTCCTATACCGTGAAACCAAACCGTATCTTATAACAAGTACATATATAAGTTATTTTGGGTGACACCATCAGTATCTACCCAACCATATTCAAGCGCATGAACTGTACCATGTGAAGTGAAAATGAACAATCCAAATAACCATAGAAGAAAAAAGAAACAACAAAAAACAACAAATAACAAAAACAAAGAAAGAAATTTTACATTACTTGTTAGGGAATCAGCTCAGGATAACGCAACTGTAATAATAATTTGGTTAGGTTATTGAAGAATTTGTTAGAAGGATGTTTAAAAGTAAAGGAACAGTGAAGAAGATTTTGATTAGAATCAGTGGAATTGGAATTATATATATACCATATTATTACACTTTACCGTGTATCAACCCCAGAGCTGAATAAACTTTGTTTAATAAAACTTGGAAGACCTGTATAGTTTAAATTTGTTATATTAAAGAAGGTGTGGTGTAGAAAATAACCACAAGAATAAACCATCAAAACACTGATTTAAAGGGTGTTCCCCGTTAACATTCCAATATGATATTGCATTTTATGTGTCACGATATATCCCAATATACAACACCACCAGATCCGTACCATTATTACAATTTGGATAGTATATGTACCTGTAGATGCCATTACTCGAATAATAAACGTCATATACCCAAGAAGGCTACACAATAAGAGAATTATGTAGTTCATCACAGTGATTGTATCACTCATTGTCGAGGACATGGATACGATATGTATGGCCACATGATTTAGTGAGATGGATAATCTAAATTGTTATAGGCATAATATGACAAACAAAGGAAGAAACTTGGGATGTGTGACACAATCTCTATAAGGGGCGAAAAGGACCATCCAGAAATGACCAACGACCTTTTTATCAGAAATGATACTATAACGATATAGTGTATACCTTTAAGAACTTGGAGATACCAGATTTTTCACGATGTTGTAACAAAATTGTTCATATTAAATGGCAATTACATGTAGGGGGGCAATAGAAGAGTCGTGAAATGTGTGATTATTAAAGAGAATATGGTAAAAACATTAGGTCAATTTATTACCATCCAAAAAACAAACTAACCATACATTATCCTGATTGCATATATTTAATAAAAGTTGATATTAGGTCTCTACCTAAATTATGTGATAATAATCATAAAAGTTTACCACATTATAGATGACTAACAATGAAAGGTGGATTTTCGTGCAAATCACCACAGGATTAGGTAGTGGAGTGCAACCTTGACACCAGGCGATAGAGCACAGACGCTACACCACGCTGCACAAAAGTGTGTGGGGGATTAATTTGGTCACACAGGAAGAAGGAAGAAGTTGATCACTGTGGGGAATAATCAAGATAAAAATAAAGTAGCTTGATATTGAGACTGAAGGTGATATCAAAGGGAGAACATTTAATTCAGCAAAAGAGTTACAAAAGAGTAATGCAACTAGATATTTGGGATGGCTGCACAAGATATAGAGGCGGTAATATCCATGAGTATTGAAGACCTTAAGAAAGGGACAGAACATGAAGATGTTCTCACACTGTGAGAAATTAGTACAGATCGTAAAAGTAGAAAGATTGTTGAGCACCCTGTATAAAAGAGGGGAGTGATGCATGTGATAATTTATAGAATGTGGATAGACTAAGAAATAGTAGATATTGATACACTCCAAATATTAGCAAATCAAAGTTTTAGGTTCTCATAGGTATGAACAGATTTGATTTGGATCACACAAAGAGAATTAAAAAAAATGATGAAATAAAAGTCTAACTGTTTTATTGGTATGGGTGTAACCCGGGGCCGTTACAAATGTGAGAAATATACAGCATGAGATCAAACAAACTCTGGTATTATTGCGATTAACAGATGGTTGGGACCAGAGTGACAATCAAACGAATGGGACCTGAGTGATGAGGTTGTGACATGATAGATTAAAAAGGAAGAAAATAAAAAAAAAAGACAAATCAGTTATAGAAACTCATGGCATTGGTGAGAGAGATCAACCGTTAAGAAGTTTGATACGCCTGTTGTCCAAGACCATTACCAATGGACCTTTGTATTGCACTTGACTATCTATGCAGTAAAAAACAGCTGGCAAACTGATGAGATCCAAATACAGTTTTACGAAAGATTAAGAGAGGAAAGATCAAGAATGGAGAGGGAGAAGAGGAAAGTAAAAAGAATGGTTGTCTTGATGAGATATACAAGCAAACCAATGTGAAAAAGTGGTATTATGAGAACTTTTTGTAGTATTCAAATCAGAAATCTGACTTAAATGATTACTATTTTGAGTGCTCAAACCATAAAAGACAAAAACCCTTATACCTTTGGTTATCAAAAACAATGGATGGTTGCAGCTGGTGTTGTGATCCATCACATTTCCATTGGATCAAACTGCACACACATGAGGAAGCTGATTGAAAGGATGGATGTTCAATGTGAATAGTCATTCCAGTAAGTCCCAAAGGTCAAGGAGCTACATATGATGGTAATAA